ATTTAATTCTGCGTTTTTCCATTTTACAGCCCATGTATACGGTACTCTGTTAAAAGCTTCGATAAATCGAAGGTGAACTTTGCAAAAAGCTATAGTTACCCCACTGACCTCTAAACCATATTGAGATGACACTAACGATAATGATGATGATCCATTCATGTTTTGGGGTTCCACGCTGTCTATAGTCCAGTTAACTGACCAAAAAACTGACTGGTTATGATCGATCACTTGTCTGATTAGTCTAGCTGTTCGTAAACATTATACAAATAGTACATAGAGCCGTACTCATTCCACGAATGTGGGTTAGTAATTTTTGCCACAACGAATTGCAAGTGGCAATAATGCAATAAAAGTGTGCGTCGTAATAGCAGCTCAAGAATGTATCGTATATTACTAAACTTTGGAAGCAGGATTAAATAGTTGACGGGACCAACCATTTCCTTTATCTATGAGGCCAACCCGTTAAAGTGGACATTGACGTAAGCTTTTGGTTAGAGTAACCACTATAAATGAATTAATTAATTAAATATTCTTTATTTCACATAAAGTTACAGTTAAAACACAATACAGTAATTTAGGTATAATAGTAGTAATATAACGTGCCATTTTTGCTACGTAGCAATTTCTTCCACCTTAGGATAGAAATTTAGGATATGCAAAAGGGGTGCAACCAAAGAATACCATCATAAATATACTACATAAGTAGTAAGTTAATAAAAATATATACGTAGATAGAGTATACATGGAAATAATATTAATATATAACATTGTAGTATATTTAATATTTTATATATTTGGTTGATATCCCCTATGGTAGGTGTTTCTATGAGTTGGTATTGCTATTAAAGTTTCACCATGGCAATTGATGTACAATACTTGATTAGGGCCTTGCTTTTGTTTTTTCTTAGAACACGAAATTTTATCTGTATGTTCATTTGAATATTTTGTCAGCACATACTCTCTGTAGAAATGTTATGTTACCTTGTATTTCTCGCTAAGTGAATTTGTATTCTTTTGAGAAATAAATATCTTAAACCTTAAATAATAATGTAGTATGTTTAGGTACCAGGCTTGGTTGATGTCCCCCCTCCCCCCAATGGTTTATTCCCCCTCCGCGAACTGGAGAAAGCGTCGGTGAAATGTTGCAACCGAAGGTGAGCTCTGTCTGGGGCACACTCGTCTGCCATTGCCTTGCGCCGGCTTTGTTTGAAACGCTTTGGTTGCGTCACACAATGTTTGGACAATAGTTTTCAATGGCAGTCCGACACAAAAGGTTGTAGCCATTTCGACATTATCTCTCAACACTCGCTCTCGCTCATGCGTCGTGTTGAATATAACAACAAAAAACTGAAAATGTAATTTCGAAATAATTTCACTTTTTCATTTTTTTGGTTTTCCGAACAGACAGACTTTCACTGGAATTACAATTGTTCTTTTTTATGTGTACACACCTACTTAACCGAGGTCGAAGTGCGGTTTATTGTACAAGGATTTACTTTCTAATTTCAGTTCCACAATGCTGAAGTTAGCGGTTACGGTGTGTTTGGCGATATCAGCTGTGAACTGTCAATGTTTCTACAAAGATGACACGTCGAAGAAGTTGGATCCTGAAGCAAGGACGTTATTGTACAAGGGGCAGTTGGAATTTACTTTGAACCTCTTCAACGTTATCAATAAAGCAGTTCCTGATGACAATATCTTCTTTTCACCTTTCTCCGTATACCATTCGCTGTTGCTCGCTTATTTCTCTTCTAGCGGTCAGACGGAAGAATCTCTAGGGAAATCTCTACAAATAGCTGAAAAACTGGTAAGAGCCTTCCATTTCCTAATAACACAACTAGAATAATATCTAGAGTCATAATTGTATAAGATCACGTTCTTATAACTTTTTACATATGAACCATAATTTCTGTAGGTGACAAGCAAAGGACCTTAGCAATGTTTGTAAAAACATAAGATAATAATAACAGAATTTAGATGTTTTTACAAACATTGCTTTAGAGTACCAAAAATCATGCAATTAACAAAAAGATATTGAGCCCTATTGTCGTTTGTTTTTTATTGAACATATTTTATTATTTGATTAATTTCAAACGCCTAATTAACCCATTCATGAACAGTTACGTTTGCCGTAAAATTAAATATTCGAACGTGAGAGTACGTGTACGATCTCAAAAAAAAAACTACGGGCTTTACCTACTGCAAAAAATCCCATGTGCCTGTAATTTCTATTGCTAAATGCTATTTTGTTTTAATTTTTTTTTCAAAATAAACGCAAATAATCTCCAATTACGTCGAAATAGTCACTATTTTTTTTTTTTATAATATCAAGTGACGGGATGAACAAGTCGTGCGCCTGGTGGAAAGCGATACACCTGTCCATAATAGTTGCAATGCTACTCAGAGCTTTAAATCGCAAAGATTTCAAGGGCACTGCCACTGCGCCCATCAACCTGAGACATAAGATGACAAGTCCCATGTGCCTATAACTTCACCAGCACCCTTACCCTTCAAAATCGGAACACAGTAATGCTGACATTACTGCTTGGCGGCAGAAATAGGTAAGGTGGCAGTACTACCCTGGACGAACTCTTTCACATGGAGCTCTACTGCTACTATTTGTATTATGTAAGTTAATTTGTATACTGAATTTGTACAGTTCTGCCGGCTATTTCTGCCACTTATTTATTTCCTACACCAACAGATAAATACAATTAAAATTTAAAACTATATTTAGTTTTTAAGGCACAGTTTTTAAGTATATACTAATTAAATGTTTTCACATCGCTCAGTACATATTTTGATATATTAAAAAAAAATCATTAAGGTCACAACATATTAAAGACATGTCCATACCTTGGTGATGGTTGTTGGTAGATGGATAGAGTTTAACATATTTGGTTTTCCTACAACACTTAATTACCGTTTTACAGGACAAAATAAACCTAATGACAGCCTACAAAGTGGACAAGCGGTCTCGACTGCTGAACAATAACAGCGACAGCTATGAGTTCACTAGCGCTAACAAGTTGTTTACCGCTAAAGAACTGCAAGTCCGGAAGTGCTTGCTCGACTTGTTTGGGGAAGAACTCGAGACAATGGTAAGGAGTCCCTTTATACGTAGGCGAAATGTCGATTCCGATATTCATACAGGGTTTGTAAAATACTACATACTTCCTAGCAGGACTATATTACTGACATCACAAACAGCAACTTTTGTTCCATGACTTTTAAGAGCCTATACTGCCTTAAATGGCTTTGGTTGGTTCCGCATAACAGTGAAAATGTTGAAACAATCACGTAAAATTGATGTTATTCACTGATTACTATACGGTGTGAAAGCATGATTTCTAAAAATTTTCACAATAGAAAAAAAAACACAGTTTGTGACATTAAAACACCTCGGAACTTTACAAGAAAACCGCTGTATTCATTAGGTACTTTATATATACCAATGTTTTTTTTTGTATCAACTGGACATACTAGAACATGTATACTATACGATATACATTTTTCAAATAGCTTTAATTTCGTTTGTAAAAAAAATAAATTCTAAAATAAAGCCAGTGTCCCTGTCGCTAGACCAAAGTTTGAATTCGAGCTGAGGCAGTATAGACTCTTAATTTTTATTCATCACATTTTACTTTCGTACAAAAATAAAATTATTTAAATAGATCGCTCTAAACAGTGATAATTATGTGCAAAATGCAGGATTCAACTTACTACGAGTATCTCACTACCAGGATATAAATCTAAAAATTATCGGAGAGTGCAACAAAAAGTTTGTGTTTGGTAAATTTATTATGTTTTGTAAAAGTCGTGGTACAAATGTTATTGTTTACTGATGTTATTAATATAGTCCTGTGAGATTGTTAGTATTTTACAAATAACCCTGTGTACGAGCGCGCTCCAAATTTACAATTGAATTATTTTCCCATAGACTTAACATGGCGACCTTAATTATATCAGATCAGATCTGTCGCTAGACCAAATTTTGAATTTCGATCTGTGACTTGGAGATCTACTTCCGTTCTTCGTCCGACATCCGTCAAAAACAATTACTGTCAAATAAGTAATAGTATGAAGCTTCATTCGCATCATGCACCTTTTAATTTGATCGAGTATTACTTATTTGACAGTACATAAATGTACGGACAACGGCACATCAAACTACACATTTTTGTTCGAAAATCGACTCCAGTGCAACGGAACAAGATACGTCAATGTGTAGCTTGATGTGCTAGCGTGTGATTTCGAAAAAGCATGAAAAACGTTAGTGTACCCAATTTTTGTTAGCCTACTATGGTGTACCATTATCGGGTAAAGGCCTCTCAAAAAAAATGTTTAAAGATAATAGTTACATATTTATATGTGTGGTTTGCATCAATATTAGACATAACCACTTGATGACTTTACTGTCTTAGTCAGCTGGTACCATGGGACCTGTAAAGGACCCGAAACGTTGGTTTGTTTGAAAAAAGAAAACAAATTAAGTGATTTAGATCCGAAAAAATAGTTTCATTTTCTAGATTAATATATTTGAAAATTGTTCGAGTGGACTCTTTAATAATATCTGCCTCGTTTGTTTACAGAACTTCAGAGACAATCCCCAAGAAGCCCGAGAATACATCAACAAATGGGTGTCAAAGGTCACGAAGAACAACATCAATGACCTTATTCCTGAGGACGGAATCTCTCAGTCTACAAAACTGGTGCTGGCCAATGCTGCTTACTTCAAGGGCGTGTGGGCATCCAAGTTCCCTGCCGAGCAAACTAAGAAACAGGCTTTCTTCGTCTCGGAGACCAGACAAACTCTGGTGCCTTTTATGAAACAGAAGGGAACTTTCCATTATAGTAAGTTTGTTTCATATTTTTTAAGTATGCTAGGTATTCGTTTAACTATATTTCAGGTTATTTGAATGAGATATACCTATGCTAAAATATTATATATATTGTTAAAATAAAATTTAAAAAAATACCTAAATTGATAGCTTTGTAGAATAGTAGCAAATCTCAAAAGCATCTAATACATCAGGGAGATGGCTTAAAAAAGCTATGAAGAGAATGCCGCACAATGTTGACGAATCCTAGACCATCCCAATGTTGTCATGCGATTATTCTAAACAATTAAAATCTTGGAATCCAATTCGGAATAAAATTTAGTATTTCTTTGAATAAATCTCAGTGGTAAGTCAAAAAAAGTCAATTTTGGATTGAACCACTGTTCTTGAAAAGCAGCGAAATTTGTAATTGGGTTAATCTTTAATGTGGTAGTGTATGACGTGGACATGTGTGACAATCTCGCTCGCTGTGTGTTTACCGCTTAAAATACTTTATTTTATTAGAAAGTTGTTCTCATTTGCATTGTAACGGTATTACTATTGTAATTCACCTGCGTAACATGCAAATTTTATTATTTCAGTGGTTAGTGATGATCTGGGCGCGCAGATTTTGGAGCTACCGTACAAAGGCAATGACATCAGCATGTACATCCTTCTGCCACCATATTCCATGAAGGAAGGTTAGTTACAACTAAAAAATAAAGTTTCTATGAGTACATAACAAAACACTACTAAGTATTTTCTGAGATTTGAAATATTTATGGTATTGATCGTGGCCTTACTTTCTCAAACTCGTATCTTAAAGCATAAAGCACCTGAAATGCAAAAAATGTATTACAAATTTTGCAGGCTGACTTCACATTACATTTCCTTCATATTCACACACTAGCTTTTACCTATTCTTAAAGTAATGTATCCAAATTAACAACCTTGATAAGAAATTTAATATAAATAGAAAGTCACCTTGTCACCTCCTGAATAATCACTCTTTATAAGATGCGTGTTTGAGAAAGTAAGTCATCGTATTGGAAGATACTATGCTCTTAAATTTATGTGGTACCTATATGTAGATAAACTGTGCTGTACCCAGTGTTGTATTAAGACATAATGGTTTGCTTCGTATTCGTCGAATTTTTCGCTTAAATTCTGTCTATTTTTTCTATAAATGTAGCTACTTTTTACGGCAAATGTCTTGACTTAAAAATTGTTTAAGATTTAGTTTATCTACTACATCATTCAAATATATAATTTATTAAAAAAAAAAAAAAATTACTCAATTAAAATACTAAACACGTCAAACCACGTTTCAATTTCAGGAGTAACAAACATAATCGCAAACCTGACCCCGGAGCGACTATCCGCTGTAGTGGAAGAGAGCTACATGGGTCGTGAAGTCGTCGTCGAGATTCCCAAGTTCACCATTGAAAGAAGCCTTCCACTAAAAGAGGTCAGACACAAATCCTCCGAATGGGTAGTTCAATTTATTCTGTCTGTTGTCTGTGTGTAATTTTGAGTTGTTAATCAAATTTTAGTATAGATTGCTATATTGCAGCAGGCAAAAATTTTATTCATGTAAAACTATGTGATCATATCGTCTTTAATATGTGTCACACCCACGGCTTCTGTTTGAAAAGCAGTAGTACGACTTCCTTAAAGACCTAGATGCTACTTTGTTTTCAGGACATAATCAGTGTTTATGACAGTCAATTTATGTTAAAGTAAGCATCGACCCATTTTTTCTTGTATCCAGGTGTTGGAAAATCTGGGCGTTGGTGACCTGTTCAATGGAACTGCTGATTTTAGTTCGCTCACCGAGCAGAAAGTCATCTTTGATGATGCCATACATAAAGCCAAAATACAGGTCGATGAAGAAGGTACGTTTTTGTTTTAATTTTTTTTAAATGGCAGTATCATCATACTGTAAGTAGGCAAATTTTTCAATCGTGCTTGTACTCGATATTATAGATAGGTCTGTAAATAAGTGGTCGTGAATTGGAAATATTAAACTACTGGATATTTCTGATAAACCTTTACTTCTGCGTCGATATTTCATTTGATGATGTAATGAAAAGACAGCTGTGAATAGAAGAAGGTCCGAGGTAGAAGCCTTTATCCGATAATGTTACTCCACAGTAGGTTAACAAAAAAAAGAAAAATACAGTCGTATTAAAGTTTTTGTCGAAATGTGCGTACATTTTTGTTAGATTTACTTATTTCAGTTTTAGTTAGCAAATAACTTTTATTTATTATATTGAATAACATGATGTTTTTACTACCATATTAATCATACATTTATGAGAAATTATTCCACTAGTTTGTTATTATTTTTGATTTTTGATCCAACAATTATAAAGAAAAATTCTTTCGATCCGGCTCGACCTGAACCCGCGACTGTTTGCCAAACCGGGGCACCCCCGGAATTTTTCTTCGTATTTGTTCGATCTTTGTATTAATAATAAATAACTCTTAATTCATTTTGTCAAAGACGTACATTTAATGTACGAATAGATAAGTTTTACCGCTTTCCATTGTAGGTACTGTAGCGGCAGCCGCAACAGCGATCTTCGGGTTCCGGTCTTCTCGACCAGCTGAGCCTACGTACTTCAAGGCTAATTTCCCCTTCGTTTACATCTTGTACGAGCGTCCTACCAACTCCATTCTCTTCATGGGCGTTTACAGAGACCCTAAAAAGTAGATCTCAGTTATATTAATAAAGAAGTTTATAAGTGTTGCCTCTTGAGTGACGTGTGTTTTGAACGCAGCCGTATTTGGTATTAAAAAACAACCAGAAATAAATAATGTTCTGTTTTTGAACGTTAGTTAATGCATTCGTAAAAAAATGACAAGTGAGATTTTTGTTGATATCCGGAATAAAAAAATACCAAAAATTTACCAACCATTTCAAAACTTAACACTATTTTAAGGGTCCAGAGGTAACTTTCAAACTTTACACAGCAACATTGTGACGTATACTTTCTGTACATCAACAATGAGTTTACAGTGACTGTTGTCGCTTGCGACTGTGTAAAATATTTGACATTTTGGTATGATACAGAACCTTTAGCGGTCACGAAAAGAAGTCACATTTTTGTATACAATTTTTTGACGCGATCGCTAGCGACAACTGTGCCTAAACCACGAGTTTACCGTGACAGTTGTTGCTAGCGACCGCGTAAATTAGTTCACAATTTTGTATGGTAAATTATCCAGCGCCCCTAGCGGTCACAAAAGTGAATTACATTTTGTACACAAACATTTCCACGCGGTCGCTAGGGATAACTGTCCCTGTAATCTCATGGTAGATGCACTGATACTGTAAACTCAATAGTATGTAAACCATACGACATAAAGTAGAAGATTGATTAAATCGCCATCTGACTTTTCGTACCGTATCAGTATGTAAAGTAATGAGTCGTAAGTCCTTGTAATAATCTTAAGTTGAACTTTCATGATCAACGTATTGAGATTTTCAGTTTGAGTTCATAAGTATTTTGATAGTTTGTATGGGGCCAAACCGTTCCAAAATATATTTATGGTATTTATAAAATTGTTTTAAGCAAATTTTATACTGCTTTTGAATTTGCGAGACGTATTGTAGTACTGTTTGATTCCGTATTTTTAAGATATTAATTTAAGATTTTTTTGTTAAATGAAAATAAATATACTAACATGTATAAATTAAATTTTCTTTTCGCTTAATTTTAAAAACCCTCTTTTTTAATTTAACCTTAATTTGTGTGGAGTTTTCGGCTGTACAGAATGCGAGGTCATCTTTTTCGAAGTTTATCACAAATTCGGGCTTCTTTTGCGCAATTTACCCACGTTCAAACGCCCATGAAACCACTCATACTGTCGTAACTCAAAATTGAAGTATATTGAGAAAACATTATTTGAAAGTTCTAAAAATTTGTGAATAAAACCAATAAGTATACATTCTCGTTTATAAATGGATAACTGAATGGACACTGTAGCCTCCCCTGCGCCGCTCTTGCTTGCAAGGATGCAAGCATGCGCGGCGCAGGCTGTATCCAGAGCGGCCGAGAACCGTAACAGGCTCAAATACGCCAATCTTGGTCAGTGCTATGGCTTTGTGCCTTTTGCGGTTGAAACCCTGAGTCCTTGGGTGTCACAGGCGAAACGTCTTGCGAACGGGCTGTGGGATCGCCTCGCAAAAGCCCCCGATTACCACAAGGCTGGCAGTTATTACCGCCAAAGAATAACTTTAGCTGTTCAAAGGGGAAAGTTGCCTGCTTGGGCTCGATGCCCCAGGGTACCGCCCTAGGTGGCTAGGAGGGAACCGTCCCCGTCGTGCCACGAGTGCAGCGCTGCGGATGGCATCGCGCAGCACACCCTAGAGGTGTGTAGCCGGTGGGATGAGCAGCGCCGCACTCTGACGGGGACTGTAGGGCAGGACCTCTCGCTGCCGAGCATGGTTGCCGCCATGATCGATAGCGAGGAGTCCTGGGAGGCGGTGACCTCCTTTTGCGCAGAGGTTATGTCGCAAAAGGAGGCCGCGGAGCGGGTGCGCGAGGACGCGGCAGACGCGCACCCGCTCCGGCGCAGACGTACGGGGAGAAGCCGAAGGCAGTTCGGTGCTCGCCTGATCCCCTAGTGAGACCAGCGGGCTCTGGACAGGGACTCCGGAGTCTGCATTGTATGGCCTCACTCGTGTGGGGGGCGGGTCGGAGGACAACCGACTCGCCCCTCCGTTGGCGCGGGAGCCCTGGCGTAAGCTAGGGCGGCCGGCGGCGTCGTGGTGAATGTTCACTGATCCCACGGCGCCGACTCAACCGGCGAGAGGGAAACCCGGAGGGGTTTTAGTGGGGTAGGCCCTCCAGTCTGGAGGGAGAATCCCCACATAACTCCTGAGTCTCCCTGGGCTCAGGGGTATCCATAAATAATTCCACCCCGACAAAAAAAAAAACGTACCGCCCTAGAGGAAATTTTCTATTTATACATTTTCAAATACTATTATTAGTTATATTAGAATTTTTAATGTGCAATAAATAAAGCTTTAACTAAATATTACGTATAAATAAAAATGATCTCATTGTTCGCAATAAAATCCGTTCAGCATCTTTTTTTTATTTTCAAATTAGGTTTTTCAATTCCACAATGTTGAGTTACGACAGTATTTGGTTTCTTGTGCGAGATTTCGTGCTATCGACAAGTCCAATCCAGTCTATTGCTGTTTTTAATACTACATCAGAATTGTTTGTTTGTACCCGAAGAGACTTCATCAATCATTCCTACTCAGTTGTGACATAATGAATTTGACGAACGTGTTAATAACTACTTTCAAAAGAACGATCAGTTCCTGCTTTCTCAAGATTACGAGAATACTACCTAACCTGATAATTATCTCCGCGTTTTATCTTTCCAAAGTAATTCTAAGGTCGTTGTCACCGATTGCATCCAAAAAAGTCTAGCCTTTTAAGCTAACCCAACAAACTACTATAAGAAAAGCGCTAAACGCCCAATGTACGATACACAAATATAATTACATTCTTCAGGCCCAAGCAAGTATGCTCTCAGTTTCATATGAAAAACGTAGTAGTTTTTCTAGATACCCTATGATTACATAGACGTATACAGGTGTTCTTTATAAATGGGACAGTAGTGGAAATCTGAAACCATAGAATATTCAAGAAACTGTTTTAGAAACCATTTAGTCTTTTTTTGTGAAAACAATTTTGGCATAGTCAATTTTTTGGTCATTTTTGTCCATAAAAATAAATAAAATTGATCAAAATTTGTTTTAATGTGGATAGACTCAGTTCCTTATCAAAATTATTTTATTATATTGGAAGAAAAGAATCGGGACAGCAGAAGTTGGTCAAATTTTGTAAAATGTTATTCATTTTACATGGCATTTTTTTATTAATTTGACCAACTTCTGCTGTCCCAATTTTTCCTTTCGATACAATGAAGTCGTCCTTATAAGAAACAGTCGATTAGCATTAAAGAAAATTAGTCAGTTTTATTCATTTTGTATAAAAAACATTTGACCAACTTATGCGGTCTCAATTTTTTCCGTCCCATACAATGAAATGACCCCTTCATGATACTGAGCGCGATATTTTCATTATAATCTACACATCTCAGGAATAATATTGTCTGGATCTGAATCATTCACATATTGTGTACATCTTGATAGGACAGAGGATGGAAAGGCATTCGCCAGAAGCATAAAATATCAAATTATTCCATTGGTAACAAATAATTAATCAAATTAATCAAACAAATAAAATCGCACTCTATTATTACACAATTTCAACTTTTCAGGAGAGCTTCTACGAATTTCTTATTATTTTCTCATCGTGTCGATACTTCTTTCATTTTAGGACTATATTGACCCTGAATAGGACGTTGTTACCTTGACTGCGCTGTCCGTACTGAGTTGGGGTACTGCAGTCACATTGGATTAGACTAGCATCCCTAAAACCCCATTTACAGATCGTGTTTCTGCAGCGTCCTATCTGAGTGCGAAGTCGATTTAAAGACTCCCACACGGGCCACCGTAGATCGCAACGAATGATATTTGTCGATAAATTTTTTATGCTTAAACATGAGAGTTATAAACTTCACATGCATATAGTAATGTGTTTTTTTATGATACAATGAGTGCGCATTTGACCTCCATCTCACGTGATGGAAAGTAATGATTTTTTTTATGACGACGATTGTTTCATGCAGTTCATATTATTTTATAACTTTCATGTTATAAAAGCATTTTCGACGTATGATCACATGTGGCTTTATCGTACCAAAAGTACAAAATACTACGTGGCTATCGAAGAAGAACGCGTGAGATAAATTTAGAAAAAGCTCCGTCTCTAACCATAGTGACCAAAAGTCTAATAAATGTAAAACCCAGCGTGCTTTTGTCAAACAACAAAAATATACAATGAACCACCAAAAAAAGAAACTCGTACTTACATTTAAAAACTTGTTTTATAGGTTATTTACCTCGTTTGGTTACACCCACAGATGATTCCTGAAAAATCGTTTGGTCCGTACCAAATATTCACACGACCAAATTGTTTTATCACACGAGTCATAAATTACGTATTTGTGATATTGTACAACGCCTATACAAGCATAAAAAGTGATAGACTAATTTCGCTTATAACACCAAGCGTACGACGTATCGATCACTCGTCACCTGATTTTTAACCGACTCAATAAAAGGAGGAGGTTCTCTATTCGACTGTTTTTTATTACCTGTGATTTTGTTGATTCTATTTTTGTTGGAAAGAGGGTACCTAACTAGTGGGCCCATTTAAATTTGAAGAAACATTTTCCGGTAACCGATTTAAATAAAACTTGGCAAATAGATTCCACGAACTTTTGACGTCGGTTTTTTTTTGTAATTGTTACGATGTAGTAGGAGGTGTTCGTATTAACGGATGAAATCACCTCCATCGCATGTAACGCAAATAAGTTTACACTGTGTATAAGTCAAAGTCAAAGATTGCAGGTTCACCTAAACCTCTAATGTGGTTGAAAATAAGTGCTTACATGTAAATTCTCATAAGCAGTCTTATAGGAATATACATTGCCAAGACTTCGTTACAAAATCGTTATTTCCTGTATTTTACAAATAATATTTAGTTACGATGTCTTTCTTTTTTGCAACTATTAAAGCACTTGCATTATGGAAATCGGAAACAAGTACTGTACCACAAACATCCGACATTTTTGCCGGAGCGTTTGTCACTGCGGGCCTCCGGCAGAACACTCGGACCGGAGTAATGTGAACGGACTTGCTTCAGTCTTACTACGGTATTCCTGTTCCCCGTTCGCCCCATCTGCTCCCCGCGTATCATTTTAGTCTCTGGTTTTCTTGCTAGATCCGGCAACAACATGACTATTAAAGACCCTGATGATCCCACGAGCGGGAATTGGGAGAAGCCCCGCTCCAGAAAGCAGAGACGCCTCACCTCAGTACGCTGCACTGCTGGCCCTAACATCACCTCCCTGAGAGCGATCGTGGACCGAAAGCATATCCACCTATGAAACATGGTATCTGGTATTGATGAACTCCGGGAATATCTGCAGAACCTATGCTCGGAAGGAACTTGTACAGTGGAAGAGCTCAAGTCTAGAGGTGACTACAAATCGTACAAACTGGGAGTTCCTGCTGCTTGTTTTGAAAGGTGTATGTGTAGCTGACGTGTGGCCTGACAATGCAAGAGTTAAAATGTGGTTTTTTCCGAGACAAAGGGTGTACGCATGAGTGTACAAGTATCCATGACTCTACAAATGACCATTTCATCAGTACAGCGTATCAAAATTTCAGAGGTCTTAATACCAAGTAGAAATCTTTTAGGGAAAGTATTGTGACTCATGAGAGTGACATTATCGCGCCGTCACTGAATCGTGGTTGTCCAAATCGGTAGAGAATTCCGAACTAGTGGGTGGTAAGTGGAGTCTGTTACGCCGTGATCGCGCTACCGGTCGACAAGGAGGAGGAGTGCTAGTGGCCGCCCGACCAGGTATCAATCTGCAACGTAGACGCGAGTTCGAGACTACGGATGGTGAGGACTTGTGGACATCCTTTGTGACGGATCAAACCAATCTACATTTGTGTGTCATGTACGTTCCACCCAATGTAACGGATGATGTGTACATGACTT